GTCTAATCCATGTTTGACTTATCTATGAGCTTATGAGTTTCAGTACTCGAGTTAGGCTCATCAATAAGATCTATAGTTCAACTCGAGCCCAAATTATTCATTATTCTAAATAATTGAATTCAAAAACTAAAATTTGAAATAATTTATAAATCAATTAAATATCCTATTATTTGTGTCATATTTATACAATGCATGTAATTAATGTGATGCGTTGATAATAATAAGAAGAAGAATCAATAGTCCATTTTCATCATTTGTTGATCTCATGTTTATATACTATGTTGGTATCGTATTATTTAGTTCATAAAAGTTACCCGTTCATAAAATGTCATTTAATAATAATTAGTATCTAAACAATCTGTGGCCCATAATTAATTTTTTGTAATTAGAAATATGATATATATGTTCATTTACTCAAAGTCTTTGACTTCATATACTAGCAAAAGCCCGTTCGCTATCGCTTCGCGTATCAGAAAAATAAATATTTTAAAAAGTAATAATTTTAATGTTGACCCAAAAGTGAAAGTAATCTTATTTAATTCTTAATTATTCTTTTCATAGGTTTGTTATTTACAATAATATATATACTCGATGAACTTGCATAAGGTAGAAGGATCGTCGAATAGATTATTTATGTTTAAACTTCTCTCATGATGCTATTGTTTCAATTTGTATGACTAGTGGTTGATCCTGCTGTAATTTTTGTAAATTGAAGCAAATTCTCTAGATCTTTTCAAGAAGAATTAAAAAAAAACAGTTGAGGGTTTAGCTGAAAAACTATCAGAATTACTTTCTCATATACGAGGTCATGTAAAATGATTAAAAAATATTTCTAACATAAAATATGAATACAAATTCTAAAATAAAAAATTATTTAAAATGGGTCACATTAAATTTATTTTTTATAATGATATAAATGAAAGAAAATTATGTTTTCTAAAAAAATAATAATATATGATAAGGACAATTTTGTATTTTCAAATAGGAGCTTCTCCTTTTAAGTTATGAAAAACTCCAGCTTTTTAAAAAGTGAAACTTTAGAGGTGTTTGACCTGCCTTCACCTTTTGAACATAAAACTTCTAAAATCCAGGCCAAACATAGTCGTACTCTTTCGGTTTTTTTTTTAGTTTGAGGTAATCGTGGTTCCCCTTTATGAAATTTTTGGACTGATTGCGGGTTTGAGGAGATTCAACTCGCATTGATCGGGTTAAATTAGGTTGGATGCTCATGAATTTGGGTTCAATTGTCTTTCTCAAACAAAAGGAAAAGGCGAAATGAAAAACACTGAAGGTAAAACTCGTTACTAACTCAAAAGTCGTCAACAGCAGGTTCAACTCGCTTTGACCTGGTTGCACCGAGTTTTGAGCAAATTCACACCTAACACAACTCGCTAATTACAAAAACAGATAAAACTCGCTCCTGCCGAAAACTTGTAAACATCGGGTTCAAGTCGCTTTGTCGTGTCCAATTAGGTTGGATACTCATGCATTTGGACACGATTGTCATTCTCAACTAAAAGAAAAAAGATAAAAATAAAATACTAAAGTGGATAAAACTCACTCACGACCCTAAACTCTCAACACTGCGTTCAACTCGCTTTGATCGGGTCGACCCAGTTTTAAAAAATTCACAATTTACCCAACATGTCAATTAAAAAAGCGGATAAAACTCACTCTCGATACGAAACTCGTCAACAATGAGTCAGAGTTCAATCGTCATTCTCAAAGAAACGGAAAATGAAAATAAAAAATTGAAGGCGTACAAAACTCACTTTCAATCTAAAACTAGTCAACAACGTATTCAACTCGCTTTGACCTATTTTTTAATGAATTAACACTTGGTTCTACCTGCCAACTACAAAAGAGGATAAAACTCTCTCACAATACAACACTCGTTAATACCTTAGATTCGGGTTTAATTGCCTTACCAACCAAAAGAAAAAAGAGAAATTCATAAATACTAAAGTCAGTTTCAAGTCGCTTTGATCGAATCGAATGGATTTTATATATTAATTGGGTTCAGTTGTGATGATGGTCATCAAAAAGGAAAAGGAGAAAAAGGAAAAACACTAAAGAGGATGAAACTCGGTCCCAATACAAAACTCGTGGTAGCGGCCTTGTGAACAATAGCTAATCACAAAAGTTATAAAATGGAGAGTGGGGTAAAACTCTCTAATGACTCAAAATTCGTCAATAGCAGGTCCAACTCGCTTTGACCTGGTTGAACCGAGTTTTGAGCAAATTCACACCTAACACAACTCGCCAATAACAAAAACAGATAAAACTCGCTCCTGCCGAAAACTTGTAAACATCGGGTTCAAGTCGCTTTGGTTGGGTCGAATTAGGTTGGATACTCATGCAGTTGGACTCAATTGTCATTCTCAACCAAAAGGAAAAAGATAAAAAAAAAAAATACTAAAGTGGATAAAACACACTCACGACCCTAAACTCTCGACACTGCGTTCAACTCGCTTTGACCGGGTCGACCAAGTTTTAACAAATTCACAATTTACCCAACATGTCAATTACAACGAAAAATGAAAATAAAAAAAACATGAAAGCATACAAAACTCACATTCCATCTAAAACTGGTCAACAACGTGTTCAACTCGCTTTGACCAATTTTTTAACAAATTAACACTTGGTTCTACCTGCCAACTACAAAAGCGGATAAACCTCTCTCACAATACAACAGTCGTTAATACCTTATATTCGGGTTCAATTGTCTTCCCAACCAAAAGAAAAAAAAGAGAAATTCATAAATACTAAAGTCAGTTTCAAGTCGCTTTGATCGAATCGAATGACTTTTATATTTGAATTTTGGTTCAGTTGTGATGATGGTCAGCAAAAAGGAAAAGGAGAAAAAAAATACTAAAGAGGATGAAACTCGGACCCCATACAAAACTAGTGGTAGCGGCCTTGGGTTCAAGTTAGGATAACCTTGTATTTGGGTTCAATAGATGTATACCTAGTGAACAATAGCTAAACAGAAATGTTATAAAATAGAGAGTGGGGTAAAAGAAGCAATTTGGAACTTCCCAACTTGCACTTGGAGGAGTGTGAGAGCCACTAATGAATAGTAACTCACAACCTAGGCTTTTATATATTAATTAATGTAAAGGCCGATGAGATTTACAAATGACCAACAAACCAACTCAAAAGCTATAGTTAGGCTGGCGCTATAACTAGCCAATTCAAGAGCTCAGGAATCGAACTCAACTACACACCGAATTGAGTTAGCTAGTATGCCTCACAAGTTGAACAATGTTAATTAAACTCAAATTAGCTACATCCGTTTTCTAAACAGTAGTCGAGTATGAAACGAAATTTCCCCGAACCATACATCTAAGTAGCTATAGGTGATATTGAGCAGTTAATTAATTAGGCTCATTTGCCCCGACCATTCATATATAAAAGCCTAACATGAGAGTTATTATTCATTAGTGGCTCTCACACTCCTTCAAGTGCAAGTGGGGAAGTTTCAAGCCTTTCTTTTACCCCACTCTTCATTCTACAACCTTTGTGTTCAGTTATTGTTTGCTAGGTTTTCATCTATGGTTTTTTGCACAAATCATTGCCTTTTATTGTTTTGTTATTTTTCGCTAAGTTTTCATCTATGACTTTTGCACAAATCATTGTCTTTGTGTTTAGTTATTGTTCGCTATTGTCCACCATTTTGCAGCTCATCTCGAAATATTATCGGTGGAATCCTAAGTTGTAATCCTTAAAAAGTTATGCAAAATGAAAAAAAATTCATAACGTTCGGATTTGGAGCACAAAGTTATGGTCGTTCAAAGTTTGACGAGGTTTTTTAGCTTTCAAAGAATAAAACTTTGTCAATATATTATTGTTTCTAAAGAAGAGTTGTACTTTGGTGGTGTAGATGTTGTGCTAAACTTAATAATCTGTTTATTATATATGGGTTTGAACCACCATCTCCACAACATGCTACTTTTTTTAATCTCTACTAAATAAAAAAATTAATATGGGATGATGGAGATTCGAACCTGAAAATTCTTGCATACAATAAACAACTAAACAACTTGTGCCAAGACCAATTATGGTTTTTGTTCGGAAAAAAATATATATAATACAAACCGCCGGGGTGGGGATGCAGTTTGCAACCAAACCGCCTTGGTCCCACGCGGTCAGTAAAATTGCCCCTACCAGTGCGGTTTTCGTGAAAGGGTGCTATTTTTGGAACTATTTTTAAGACAATGCTATTTCTGGAAAAGTCCCCATTCTACAGCCCATCTCGAAATACTGTCAGCGGAATACTAAGTTGTTCCCCACCATCGTTTGTCAAGGCCACTACGACGAGTTCTGTATCGGGACTGAGTTTCATCCTCTTTAGTGTTTTTTCTTTCGTTTAGTTCCTTTTTATTGAGCATGATCACAATTGAACCTAATGCCGCTACCAAAAATCCATACCATATCTACTCAATGTTGGCGAGTTTTGTATCAAGATCGAGTTTCGTTCGCTTTAGTGTTTTTTCTTTTACTTTTTCCTTTTTGTTGGGGTCATGAGCGAGTTTTATCCGCTTTAGTATTTTATTATCCTTTTTCTTTTGGTTAAGAATGACAATTTAGTCAAAACGCATTGCTATACAACCTAATTTGACCCGACCAAAGTGATTTGAACTAGATTTTATAGGTTTTCAGCGATAGTGAGTTTTATCTGTTTTTTAATTGGTGTGTTATGTCAGGTATGAATTTGTCCAAAACTCGGTCCAACCATGTCAAAGCGAGTTGAACCTAGTCTTATTAAATCACAATTCACCTTGTATATATATGTTCCTTTTTATCTGAACCAGTTTCATTAATAAGACGTTTAGTACACTGTGTATTCATATACCCAACTTTCATATTCAAAATTGTCCTCATCCTATCCTATATAAACCCACGCCCATTTCCATTTCCTATACACTTATATCATCACCATCTAGCTAGCTAGTGAAAAGATCATATCCACCCTCCTGATCAGCTCGCAACTTCCCACAATGGCGGCCTCACCCAATCTTTTCTGCTCTCTGATGATCCTTCTACTCATTTGGATACCTAATTCCTCCCATGCATCAGCATCTTCCCAAGTGGAGCACTATATTATATTCATGGAGTCAGCCGTCATGCCGAAAGTCTTCCCCACTCCATTCCACTGGCATCTAGCCACTCTTTCCTCCCTGGAGGCGTCACAATCACAAACCGCAGGCGCTCATGCTTCTGCCAAGCTAATATACAGCTACTCCCACGCCATTGATGGCTTCAGCTGTGCTCTCACCGTTGCGGAATTCCAAGCCTTGCAGAAGTCTCCCGGCTATGTCCACTCCATCAAGGACCTGCCTGTGAAGTACGACACCACTCATTCCCCCAAATTCTTGGGGCTTGTCAGTACTCCTGGTCGCTCTGGCGCGTGGGAAGCATCCAACTACGGCGAAGGCGTCATCATCGGGGTGGTCGACTCCGGGGTGTGGCCGGAAAGCCGGAGCTTCGACGACCACGGGATGGATCCGGTGCCACCCAGATGGAAAGGAGAATGCGAGACCGGCACCCAATTCAACGCCTCCAGTTGCAACAACAAGCTCATCGGGGCTCGTGTTTTTACCCGGGGCCGCGTCGCGAGAAACATGACCATCACGATGAACTCCCCGCGCGACGAGGAAGGCCACGGGACCCACACCGCCAGCACCGCCGAGGGCAACTTCGTCGAAGGCGAGGAGGAGTCGTTCTTCGGCTACGCTCCGGGGACGGTCAAGGGAGTGGCTCCCAAGGCCCACGTGGCCATGTACAAGGTGGACAACGGCTCCTTCACCTCCGACTACATCGCGGCTATCGATTGGGCACTCCGCGACGGCGTGGACGTCCTGTCGCTGTCGCTGGGGTTCGACGACTGCGCCTTGTACGACGACGCCGTCGCGCTGGCCACCTTCGCGGCCGTGGATAGGAACGTGTTCGTCGCCACCTCTGCCGGGAACAGAGGCCCGATGCATGGGAAGATCCACAACGGGATCCCGTGGGTGCTGACGGTAGCGGCTGGAACGATCGGCCGCGAGCTCGGCGCTGAGGTGAAGCTCGCCGGCGGCGGCGCGTCGGTTTTCGGCCGGTCCATTTACCTGGGAAGCTACTCCACCGCCGAAGCTCCGATCGTGTTCCTGGCGGACTGCTCGAGCGCCACCGAGATCCGCAGGCGCGGCGCGGGGAGGGTGGTGGTGTGCCACGTGGATAAACACACGCCCGGCGACCCGTTTGCCAACCTGCAAAAGAACTCCGGCGTGATCGTCGGGGCCATCATCATCTCCCCCAGCATCATACCGGACGCGGCACTGTACTTCACCTTCCGGTGATGGTCATGACGGTGGACGACGGCGAGAAGGTGAAGTGCTACATCAACAGCACCGCCCAGCCAAGAGCCAGCCTGGCGTTCCGAATCACGAACCTCGACGCGAGACCGGCGCCAGCGGTGACGGACTTCAGCTCCAGAGGCCCGTCGTTGACCTGCCCGTCCGTGCTGAAGCCCGACATTATGGGCCCCGGGTTCCTGATCCTAGCCGCCTGGCCGCCCAACGTGGAAGCCCACCCGTACTACTTCCCGGGCCGGTACACCAATTTCAACATCGTGTCCGGCACATCAATGGCGTGCCCTCATCTGGCCGGAGTCGGGGCGCTGCTCAAGAAAGCCCACCCGGACTGGAGCCCGGCTGCTGTACGGTCCGCGATAATGACCACAGCTGACACGACGGACCTCTCTGGGGGGCCCATCCAGGATTCCAACCCGGCCCACCACGGCCCAGCAGCCACGGGCTTCGCCATGGGAGCGGGCCAAGTAAATCCCAACAAGGCACTACACCCTGGCCTGGTGTACGACCTCGGTTCGTCGGACTACGTCAATCTCCTCTGCGCAATGAACTTCACCGCCAACCAGATTCGAGCAATCACAAGGTCCGTCACCGACTGCTCCTCCTCCTCCGCCCCTTCCTCGGACCTCAACTACCCTTCGTTCGTTGCTGTTTTCAGCGCGAACCGTTCGGATCACGTCCTGGAGCTTAGGAGGACACTCACCAACGTGGATGATGATCAGGAGATAATGGCGACTTATTACGAAGCTCATGTCACGGCGCTTGACGGGTTCAAAGTCAGAGTGGTGCCGGAGAAGCTGGTGTTTAAATGTAAGGGGGACGAACAGAGTTTTAAGCTTGTGTTGGAAATGGAAAGCCATTTGAAGGAGGAGGACAATAAACCATTCCTGCGTTCGGGTTACCTAAAGTGGATCCAAGTTGGAGGAAGCAAACGTGTCGTCCAAAGTCCCGTTGTGGCGACAAATATCAACAGCTTTTTTTGATCCATTGTTCTCTGAAAAGGATGTTGCAGGTCCACAGCTGGAAGGAGATAAGGCTTGGGGAGTTAGCGTATCTTAAATTTGAAACAGAAAATCAGTTAACTATATATATGAAGTTGTGACTTCATCTTATGTACCTGCTGCTTTCTGGCGTTAACTTGTATGAGAGTTACGCTAGTAATCTGAATGACCTTAAATAAGGACACTATTTGCTTCTATCTATCTATCTATCTATTAATATAAGAAGTTTATAACCCTTTTATAGAACAACAACGTACAAATGATAAGATGATCTCAACCAGGCAAGCACCACTCACACTTAGAAACGGACTGTCCATCGGTAGAACAAGGTTGAACTTCTCTGCATTTTCTAACAACGTATTCGCGCTGGAATTTTTCAGTCTAATAATACTTGATTTCTTCACGGGAGGACCAACACTCAATTGTCTTCCTGCAATGAAGTTCCATTGCAAGCGATCATTATAATTAGCTTCCAAATAATGAAGAAATCAAAGTTATGAGAGGTTGGGCTATGCGTCGATTTAGAGGCAACTAGGGATTCTGATTCACGAAAGGAGAGACAATTATTAAGTTTAAGTTTGACTTCAGCCTTTCAACAAATAAAACGAAAAAAAAACTTAATTAAACGGGCCAGCTCCTCAAGGTAGACTAAAATGGTTTGGGCTTTAAGTGAGAAGTCCAGAGACTAACTCATAAATCCATAAACCCACTTCAGCTACTGAAGAGACAATCGTCTTCTTCCTTGAGCTGGACGAAGAAAGCAAAAGAAACAGAGAACAAAATCAGAAACAGAACAAAGAAAATCAACCAAAGAATCAGAGACACCAACACAACGATTTTAACGAGTTTCCCCAATCTTACGGGTCAGTCCTCGTCCTGGAGATAACACTCGCTATTTTTCGCGAGACTCCCTTTTATTGATTTTTTTCTTCAGTTTATCAAATTCAAAACCTTTGTAATTTGAGAAAAACTAACACCACTAATTTCAGGCTTACAATCTGCAACTCTCAAGGACAAAAACAATCGCTATATATAGACCACTGAAGATGCTGGAACAGAAGACTTCTTCTTGAAGTAGCCGTTGTTGCAATATCGCACTGATGGAGCCTAGCCATTGGAACACTTACCAAAACAGGATAGTTACCTTAATCGCAATCCCTTAATTTCTTCCAACAATCTTCCCCTAAACATCTTCTTCATCGGCCAAGTACTCTTCATCCTAGCTATAAAGCACCAGCATGCCATGAGGAAAGGGACCAGGACCAGCAGAAGGTTCGGCTTCAACTTCTTCTCCTAAGCTGGCGACAAGCGCGTTCTAGCTCCGGGTTCAACGGTAGTAAACCTCCCGACTGGCTACGGGTCGTGCACTACCTGAACACAGCCAAGAAAGCAAACCCGTGAAGGCACAAGTGGGACAAAGCAAACAATCAATGCAGAAAAGAAATGCTAAAATAACTGAAATCACGTTTCTTCAACAACCTAGTCGTCCCCGACAACGGTGCCAAAAACTTGACACGCCTCTACCGTCACACTAGAAAGTGGCCAAGGGTAACCACCTACCAATGCGTAGTATAGCGGGTTTAGTTCTAAATCTCAACTCGGGTCCTAAATTTGATGGTTACTCCGTGAAAATCTTATTATTTATCGGTTCAAGTGTAGTGAAGGTCTAACTAAACTAAACTAGCAAGCAAGAGCAGTGAAAGTTGTGTTCAAAAGTTGAGAGAGGTCACCCAGATATGGTTCCCCCTAGACTGCAGTTAAGCCAAGTTGTAATTCGTCAAGTTCAAGTTCAATGATAGTTATACTACGGAAGGTTCTTAGACAGACTGCAGTCTCGACTAAAGGTCTCCAGACCCTCTCAATCTGAGTCCCAAGCGGGCGACTAACCTTCATCGAAGTAAACAGATTGAGGCCCTAATGTACCAAACCTCCTCTATTGGAATAAATCCAATACAGAATAGTGAATTGACTCCTCGACTAAAGTCGTCAACTCACCACCTTCAATCAAGGGTGCTCTATCAATCTAGGCAGATATTCTCTTTCTATGTCAAAGTAGGAATAACACGAATTTGATCAGGATTCATGTAATTCTGAAAATCAATTCTCAATTGAATATATTCAATATCAATGAATTCGTACTTGGGTTCATACAATCAGACCTAACATACAAATCTACAGTTCTTCATACCCAAGTGAGTGAGAGAGTTTACTCCATAGAGAGAGAAAGGAAATCTAGCTCAGATGTAGAAAACATGTTGTGAAGGATGAGATTCTGCTTCTCGTAATCAATCGGCACTTCTCCAAACTTAAGCCGAGGTTAAATGGTGATGAAGATCGATCTAGGGCGTTTGGAGACTCTGGTTCCTCACTCTCTCTCTCTCTCTCTCTAGGTATCTGCTTTCTTTCTCTAAAACTCGAAACCCTTGTAAAATTGGCCTTATTTCCCTCAAAAGGGAGCAGATCGCGATCCCCGGCCATAATACCCGGTCGGGTATTTCATGTGCCCGGCCGGGTATTTTGAAACGCTGCACATCGGAAAGGGCTTAATACCCGATCGAGGTCCAGAATACCCAATCGGGTATTTTAGCTATCAGGCTGGGACCCCTTCTGGAATTTTGGCATCCAAAACGTCTTTACCCGGTCGGGTATTTCCAGTGCCGACTGAGTATGTTTGTTCTCCATTGCCCTTCACTCAAACTTCCTCCCTTTTGGCCCGAAACTCGTTTCCTCGCCTCTACGTCAATGCCAAGTCCTGAAATATGACATAAATGCACAACTTAGCGTGAAATCGACTTAAAACACGAGAGTCGACTCTTAAACGGTTCAAGAATGGTGGTATAAACATGTGCAATTAACGGTCTATCAAATGCCCCCACACTTAACCGTTTGCTTGTCCCCAAGCAAACCTAACTCAAACCAATGCAACTCACCAGACCTCTATAACAACAAACACCCTCGATCGTCGGTAGAGGATGTTCTAGATCATTTAGCAACTTACGAGGTCAACCGACGCACAAGTCATCTCTTAACTTCTTCGGCAAGAACGCTAGTCTCGAGTCGGTATCATGGCAAATAGTGATCAAAGGACAAATGAATCGTGGACGAAGGGAATCTAAAAAACAAAGGATCATGGACTCACATTTTTCAAGGGGCTCTTATTTTCCTTTTTGAAGATGGTTGGAACCCCTTTTTCCCTTTTTCTTGTTATTTGATTTTTTTCCTTCTTTTTTTTCTTTCTTTTCAAGGGTTCCAACCGATGGATAGATCCAGTTGGATCCGGTTGTGGGAGGCGAATATTCCCCCTAAGCTGAAAGTCTTTGTTTGGCAACTTCTAAATCGAATTCTTCCCACCACGGAGGCCCTTTATGCTCGCAAGGTCCCTGTACTCCCTCGTTGCCCGGTCTGTTGGGGTGGCCCGGAAACCATGGAGCATCTGTTTCTGGATTGTCCGGTGGCGCGTGGGCTCTGGGGGCTCTCGGGGATAGAGTACCTAGGGGAGGGGTTGCCTCGCCATACTTGTCCTCTGTTCCTTAAACGTTTAATGGCCTTAATTCAGCAGCCGACGCTCCTAATGGCAGTAGTTTCTATCCTTTGGCGCATCAGGCGGTCGAGAAATTGGGTGGTGTTTGAAGGAAAGCAGTTTGGGTTCCCCGTGTTGATGAGGTAGTTTTCCCAGCAGTATGAGGAATGGGTGGGGTTGCCGGTGGATGTGCCCCCCGTACCTTCTCCCCTGACGGGTCCACGGACAGGTGGGCTGGGTCAGGCTGCAGGGTTTACTTGCCAGTGGGACGGGGCTACCAGGAAGGGATCGCATTCAGCGGGTGGCATGGTTCTTCTGTCTCCCTCGAGGGATGTTCTTATGGCTCACGGGATTCAGCTTTAGGGGAATGATGACCCTGTGGTCGTGGAGTTGCTTGTGCTCCGGGAGGCCATTGCTTGGTGTGTGGGCCAGGGTTTCGCGGGGATGCGCTTCGAAGGGGATGCCAA